GGAATACAAGGGTGGGAAACAAAGAGGAAGGATGAGTGATTGGAAAATATGTCCTTAGTGATAGAAAGGATAATGGAGATCACATGTTAGGATTTTTCGAGATCAATGACTTCTTCATTGCAATTACTTTTGTTAAATAACATAAAAGACAACTATACACATGGACCTCACCAAACTGACTACATCTGTGGAAAGAGATGGTAGAAAAGTTCCATACCATCAGCCCAAACAAAGCCAGGGCAGACCGTGGGAACAGACCATCAATTGCTCATATGCAAATTCAGTCGGAAGCAGAGGAAAATTAAAACAACTTCACAAGAGCCAAAATGAGACCTTGAACGTATCCCACCTGAACTTAGAGATCATCTCAAGAACAGATTTGATGAATTAGACACCAATGACAGAAGACAAGAAGAAATCTGGAATGACATCACAAACATCATTCCGGAAGAAAGTGAAAGGTTATTAAGAAGACAAGAAAGAAGAAAAAGGCCAAAATGGAAGTCAGAAGAGACTGTAAAACTCGTTCTCTAACACAGAGGTGCTAAAAAAAAAAAAAAAAAAAAAAAAAAGCAATGAGGAGGTAGAAGAGCTGAACAGAAAATTTCAAAGGGCAGTTCGAGAAGACAAAGTCAAATATTCTAATGAAATGTGTAAAGATTTAGAGTTAGAAAACCAAAAGGGAAGAACACATTAAGTATTTCTCAAGCTGAGGGTACTGAAAAAAATTTCAAGCCATGACTTGCAATATTGAAGGATTCTATGGACAAAATATTGAACAACACAGAAAGCATCAAAAGAAGAATACACTGTCACTGTTCCAAAAAGAAATGGTAGATGTTCAACCATTTCAAGAGGTAGCATTAGATCAAGAGCCAGTGATACTGCAGGAAGAAGTCCAAGGTGCACTGAAGACATTAGCAAAAAGCACAGTGCCAGGAATTAATGGAATACAAATTGAAATCTTTCGACAAACTGACGGAGCACTTGAGGTACTCACTCACTTATGTCAAGAAATATGCAAGACAGCTACCTTGCCAACTGACTGGAAGAGATTCATATTTGTACCCATTCCAAAGAGGTGACCAAGGGAACATAGAAAACATCGGACAATGTCATTAATAGCTCATGCAAGTAAATTTTTGCAAAAGATAATTTAAAAACAGCTTTGACAGGGAGCTGTCCAGATGTTCAGACTGGATTCAGACAAGGACGTGGAACAAGAGATATCACTGCTGATGTTAAATGGATGTTGGTAGAAAGCAGAGAATACTGGTAAGATGTTTACCTGTACTTTTATTGACTACGCAAAGGCTTTTGATTATGTGGATCATGACAAGCTATGGACAACATTGTAGTGAATGAGTATTCTGAGTGCTCATGAGGAACCTGTATATAGACGAAGAGGCAATTGTTCCAACAGAACAAGGGAACACCTAACAGTTTAAAATTAGGAAAAGTATTTGCCAAGGTTGTATTCTTTTACCAGACTTATTTAGTCTGGATGCTGAGTAAATAATTTGAGAAGCTGGGTTATATGAAGAGCAATGTGGCATCAAGATTGGAGGAAGATTCATTAAGAACCTACAATCTGTAGATGGCACAATCTTGCTTGTTGAAAGCATAGAGCTTTCAGCCTTCAAACACCACTGCCTTCATTATGGGTTGTATCTCAATGTAAAGAAAACGAAAATTCTTTCCACTGGACCAATAAATAACATCCATATAAATGGAGAAAAGATTGAAGTTGACACATTTTTCACGTGTCAACATTCTCATTATTTCTGTTCTGGCTGTTTCACATCCATTTCCTTACTCTCACACTCTGTGACTTCTCATCTATGCCTCAGAGTAGTTGCTGTTCATTTGGTCTCATATGTTGTTGTTAAGTGCTGTAGAATCAGTTCCAACTCACAGCGACCCTGTATAGGGTGTCCAAGGAGCAGCTGGTAACTTTGAACCACTGCCCTTGTGGCTTAAATTGACCTTGCAGTCCAGTACATCACCCCACAGCACCACACCAGCACGTATATAGATGTTTTTTAAAAAGAGCTCAGTAATCTATGATCACGATCCTTACCTTTGAGTTAAGTTAACTTGCTATTTAGTTAAAATGTGACTGCAGAGAACAGTTTTGCCTTATGATTTAAAGAGTATTTCAGGGCAATAATCTTAGGTATTCCTCCAGTCTTAATGGATGGGTCTAGCAAGACTAGAGTCTTTAAGAATTTGAAGTTGTGTTCCACATTTTTCTCCTTTTATATCAAGATTCATCTATTGTGGCCCTGAACAGAACCTTGGGTAGCTGAGCACCATTTAGTTCATCTGGTCTCAAGGGAGAGGAGGCCGTAGCTCATGGAAACAATTAAACCTACTGTAGTCAGTCCATTTTCTTCTATGATTCTCTGATTTTCTTCTTTCTCTTAACTGAGTGGTTTTGGAAAAATGGTTTTAGCTTCCACAAACTCATTTCCTTTGCCATAAACAGGGACAGTGATAGCTTTCCCAGGTTGCTGAGGGGATTCAATGTTATCTCAACTGGCCCTACTGAGTCTACGGACACCAGTGTACTTGCATGTGTATGTGACACCAGTGTACTTGCAATTACCACATGTGCTTGTCACTGTTGGTGTGAGCCTCCTGCCTGAGCAGGTCCGTGACCGAGCTCTAGGCCATGTGACTGCATGCTGGGGCTGCTATGTCAATGTGGCCATATCTGTCTTTCTCCCTTGGAGACTGTGGACTTCTGTAGGGAAAGAATGCACTGTTCATTTCATTTTTATATCTTTAGTGCTCCTGGTGTGGCGCTGTTTGATAAGGTCTGCAGTGCTAAGCACAAGGTGAGTGATTCAAATGCACCAGCCACTCCCCAGAAACCCTATACAGGGTTACTCTGAGTCAGAACCAACTCAACAACAATTCACAACAACAATGCTCGTGGCACAAGCAGTTTGTGCTCCACTGATGATTGGCAGTTCAATCCCACCTAATAATACAGTAGAAGAAAAGATTGTTGATCTTTGTAAGAATTGTTGTTGTTATTGTTAGGTGCCATCGAGTCAGTACCAACTCATAGCGACCCTGTGCACAACAGAACGAAACACTGCCCGGTCCTGGGCCATTACAGCCCAGAAAATCCTATGAAAACAATTCTACTCTGCAGCACAAAGGGTCATAATGAGTCAGAATGGACTCATCGGCAGACAAGCACTATGCATGGCACATAGTGGACACGCCAAAAACATCTCCAATGCCAGCCAAGATTTCCACCAGCTGACTTCTTTATGCTCAAGTGGGACCTGGGGAAGAAATAATTAGTCCTAGTGCTTGTAGGGTCAACTTTAGACTGGTAACAGCAAAGTCAGCAGTTCAGATCCACCAGCTGCTCTCATCAACTCTACACATTGTTGCTATGGGTCTGAACTGAATCAACAGACAACAATATTAACATAAATTTACTAATCCCAACTTTGTAGTTTTTATTAGTATTTTCTCACTGTCTATATTGTGTGACACTGTAGGATAATGCACTGGATCGCAAGATGGTTCAAATTCAACAGCTATTGTTCCTCGGAAACCCTATACAGGGTCACTATGAGTCTGAAATGACTCAATAGCACTGAATAACAATATCACGTGTGTGATACTCCAAAACTGCTGACATAACTTTAAAGAAGATAATAAATCAAAGTTTCTAGGTGTGAGGAATGACTGAATTCAGGCATGATTAGAGGCCAGTGGAGGACACAGATAACTGGACAATAAATCAGATGGGGTCCATGTACTTTGGCCAGGTCACAATGAGTTTTGTGATTCTCTTCTGCATAACCTGGACCAGCCACAGAGAGCCAGGGAAGCAGCAGGTTGGAGTGTTTCAAGGCAGAGACACCTGGAATCTGTTTTATCTCTGATGTTATCTCTCTCTTGCTCCAAGGCAAATGGCAATATGTTTACAGAACCCAGAGTACAAACATAGCCAGCTGGGAGAAGAGTAAAGTAGATTCAACATGTACAATTACGTATTTGTTGAGAGACCCTAGTCCTGCAAATAATCTTGGAAATACTTGATGAATTATCCCCAATAATTCTCAGCTAGCGGAATATCTCGGAATGGATGTTGACAGAAAAAAAATGTAAGTTGCAAGCCCTACTTTCAAATGGGGTCCCCATCCACTAGATGAGAAGGCCTCAGTATACCCATCTGTAAAATGGGGACATTGGTTCCTGTCCCATATACTCTATAAGCATAAACCACTACACTGCGAACCATAGAATGGAAGATAGCGTATGGGTTGGAGAAATCTGAGGAGCGGCTAGTGAGCTTGAACCTGACCATACAGTTCAAATCGACTCAACAGCACTAACAACAGTAATAATGCCAGTCCTGGTGTGGCACTATAGGATAACGCACAGGACCTAAGGTTGGTTTGGATTTCAAGGTCCGTGTTTCAAACTCACCAGTTGCTCCTTGGAAACCCTAAACAGGGTCACTATGAGGCAGAACCGACTCGACGCCACATAACAACAAGCAGGAATTCAAAGGAGCCCTGGTAGAGTAGTGGGTTACGTGTTGGCTCCTCGAGCTTTCAGCTCCGGTTAAGATTTACAGCCTTGGAAACTCTATACAAGGTCGCTATGAGTAGGAACCGACTGGACAGCTCGCAGAAGCAATGGGCTTTGGTGGTGGTGGTGTGGATTACGCGCTTGACTGCTAACCGAAAAGTCGGTTGTTCAACTCAACAGCCACTCACTCATTAGGAGAATGAGGCGGCCGTCCACTCCCGTACTAAGTAAAGATTTACAGTCTCGGAAACCCTAGTTCGACTCACAGCAGTGGATAGTAGTGAATGCTGGCCAAGGAGTGGGGAGTTGAAGGGAGACGCAGGGACCCAGGAATCCCCAAGTCCCTGGACGGGCCGCGCAGGCATTGTGAGCGCATCGCCCCTACCTTGCCGTATTTCTTCAGCTTCTGACGGTACTTCTTCTTGGCTTTCTCCCCGGACGCCGGCTCCTCCAGCGGCTCGTAACGCTCTGGAAGGAGAGCGAGGTGCACCCTCCGCGCGCTTCGCGTCCCGGGCCCGCTCGATGCGCTCGCCGCCACCTCCGCGTCTTCGTCCCCGCACTCCAGGTGCTCCAGGATAGCGGTCGCCTCCTCGTCCCGCTCGGGTCGCCCTCGCCTTCGGGGTCCGCGGCGCGAGAGACTGCTTGCCGCCTTGCTTCGGAGCCTGGCTCCTACCGCCATGATTCCTCAGCCCCTCCGGCGAAGGTCTCTACGGGAAGCTTCCAACCTTTGCTCCCACCGCCTCCTCCACCCTGGCCGCCCGCCCCGACCAGACTGACCAGACTGAGGTCGCTGCGCCCTCTGGCAGTGGGGTCGGAGATTGCGACGGCTCCACACTGCACTGGCATGCGTCTGACCGCTCGCAACTCACCTGCTGGCCAGAGGGATGAAGTTGTTGTTGTTAAGTGCCGTCGAGTCGGTTCCGACCCATAGCCACCCTGTACAAGGTTTCTGAGAAGCGACCGGTGAGCTTGAACCGCCGACCTTGCAGTCAAACGGCGCATTAACCCACAGCGCTACACAAGGGGTGAAGTGAGCTCTTCAAAAATTAAAGAAAATTGCCTTTATCTTTCTATACCATTTTCCCACTAACGAAAGCTCATACAAAAGAACATACAAAGAGCATTCAACTGTGTACGAAATAAATGAACACACGATGAGACCACTTACGTACATTCAAATTGGCAAAGTTGGTATATACAAATAAAGATTGTATTATTCAGTATTGGTGATGGTCTGCTGAGATGGCTAGCATAGTACAATATTCATAGCGTGCAAGTTTTTCCAAAGGCACCTAAAAGCCAAACGCACCATTGTCTAGTTAATTTAGACTCAGTATATCTGAGTATATCTGGACAGAGTATATCTGCCCCATTTGGGTTCCAAGGCTATGAATCTTATTCGAAACGGACTGCCACATCTTTCTTCTATGAAGCTGGTTGGTTCCACCTTTTGATTAATACATCAGTGCTTTAATCAATGCTCCAGTTTACATCAAGAATCCTAAAAAACAGTCCTGGTGTGACACTGTAGGATAAGCACTGAACTGCTAGCCACAAGGTCAGCAATTCAAACCTCTGAAACCCTATAGAGAGTCACTATGAGTCAGAATCCACTTGAAATCACAACAGCATCCTAAGATGTTGTTGTGGAGCCAAGCTCATCACACAAAGGTTGGCCTCCTCCCCAGAGGCACCTCAGAAGAAAGGCCTGGTGATCTGCTTTGGAAAAATATCCATTGAGAACTCTGTGAAGCAATGTTCTACTGCAATACATATGGGGTCACTACTAGAGAGCGTCAACTGGATGGTAACTGGTACAGTACTGGTATCCTAAGGAAACATCCAGAAAAGTAGCATATCCACAGTGTTATTCCAGTCTGATCCACAGTGAGAAATGTGGAGTAAACCAGCCAAATGGGCAAATTGACTTCTGGCACACACACAGGACGTCAGATGACGTAATCATTAAAATAACAATTTTCAAGACAATCACTTTGACTCAGTTTGGCTTGACATGATTTATTTTCTTATATAGGTAAGTGTCTTCCAGTTCCGGAAAAGAATTAAATATAAAATAATGTTTTTGTCAATTATGAATATATTAAGATTATTAAAATTTGTGATATGCTCAAGAATAATTTGGATAAGAAGTTGTTAGGTGCCATCAAGTGTGTTCCAACTCATAGTAACGCTGTGCACAACAGAATAACATACTGCCTAGTTCTGCACTATCATTGTAACTGTTGTTGCCTTTGAGTTCATTGCTGCTGTCACTTGTACCAATTTGTCTCATTGGGGATCGTCCTCTTTTTTGCTGGCCCTCCATTTTACCAAGCATGATGTCCTTCTCCAGGGAAAGGGCCCTTGTAATAGACTGTCCAAAGTATGAAAAACGAAGTCTCGCCATCCTGGTTTCCAAGGAACATTCTTGCTGTACTTCTTGCAACAGAGATTTTTGTCGTTGTTGTTGTTGTTCTGGCAGCCCATGGTACTTTTAAGACTGAAGTTGTCAAAGACTTCATTTTGATTGAATTCACATCAACACTCACGGAAGCAGCAGTCAAGCAATCAAACAACATATTGCATTTGGCAAATCTGCTGAACAAGACCTCTTTAAAGTGCTCAAGAGAGAAGATGTCAGTTTGAGGACTAAGGTGCGCTGTGGGGATTGCTTTCACTAAGTCTGACTTGTTGTTGTTAAGTGCCTTCGAGTCGGTTCCGACCCATAGCGACCCTGTACAGGGTTTCCGAGGGTGTAAATCCTTACGGGAGTAGAAAGCCTCATCTTTCTCCCGCGGAGCAGCTGGTAGTTTCGAACATGGGTTAAAACAAAGTAGCTCTATGGAGTGTTCTGTCCTGATAGTGTGTGTGAAAAAGAGAGCATGATGACCAAGAAGACTCCGGCAAAGGTGTTTGTCAAGGATGTTTGTGTAACTAGGAAGACCTAGTTATGAGTATTTGAGGTCAGAACATTCTCGCACATTTCTCTGTGCTCAACTTTATCTAAGAATTTATATTGCTCCCTGTTTTCCTAAAGCTTACCCAAATGCTTTTGAACTTTCTGCTTTGATAAAGCCTAATAAATATCAGGAGAATGAAAATTTGGGAGGAGTTTTCTAACTCAGAGAGTTCCTCTCCCATAATCCTCTTAACTATGTTTCGAGTAGTATATTCTTCCACTCGGCATTTTCACAGGACAGTAAATGCAACAGTGCACCTGACCCAAACCATGGTATTTTCAATCACCTCATATGCATGTAAAAATTGACAGTGAATAAGGAAGACCGTAGAAGCATTGATATATTTGAGTTTTGGTGTTGGAGAGGAATATTAAAAGTACCATGACTTCAAAAAGAATAATCCAGTCTGTGTTGAAAGAAGTACAGCCAGAATGCTCCTTGGAAGTCAGTATGGCCAGAATTTGTCTCTTGTACTTCAGACATATTATCAAGAGGGACCAGTCCCTGGAGGAAGATATCATGGCTGGGTAAGGTAAAAGGTTGGAGAAATAGAGGAAGACCCTCAACAAGATGTATTGGCCCAGTGGCAGCAGCAATGGGCTCAAGAGTAGAAACAATTGTGAGGTTGGCACAGGACAAGGCAGTGTTTTGTTCTGTTGTGCATGAGATTGCTGTGAGTTGGTACCAATTTGATGGCACCTAACACAAAAATTTACTGATGAAGATCAAAGAGCACAGCCTTCAGTATGGATTACATCTCAATGTCAAGAAAACAAAAAACCTTACCACTAGACCAATAAACAACATTCTTATCAATGGAGAAAAGATTGAAGTTGTCAAAGACTTCATTCTTCTTGGATCAACTATCAACACTCATGGAATCAGCAGTCAAGAAATCAAATGATGTATTGCACTTACACAAATCTGCTGCACAATACCTTTTAAAGAGCAAAGATGTCAGCTTGAGGACCAAGGTATACCTCACCCAAGCCATGGTATTTTCAATAACCTCATATGCATGCAAAAGCTGGACAGTGAATAAGGAAGACCATAGAAGAATTGATGCATTTGAGTTGTGGTGTTGGAGAACACTGAAAGTGCCATGGGCTGCCAAAAGAACCAACAGATCTGTGTTGGAAGAAGTGCAGCCAGAGTGCTCCTTAGAGGCCAGGATGGCCAAACTTCGTCTCTCATACTTTGGACATATTGTCAGGAGGGACCAGTCGCTGGAGAAGGATATCATGTTTGGTAAGGTGGAGGGTCAGAGAAAAAGAGGAAGACCCCAGTGAGATGGATTGGTAAACTGGCAGCATCAATGGGCTCAAGCGTGGCAACAGTAGTGAAGTTGGCCCAGGATCGGCCAGTGTTTCACTCTGTTGTGCATAAGGTCGTTATGAGTCAGTACCGACTCGATGGCACTTAACAAAAACAACAACTTTCATTAGTTTTGTAAATAGAACAAAACCATTCATTAATTTTAAATTGCTCGATATTTTGCATGCCTCGATAATTTGCATGCCTATTAAAGGCAAAATACTTGAACCATTGAACACTGATTCCCAGATGAAGTCTCTGTAACTAATGAACTACCAGGACAAGAGGAGATGCAATCAGAGACCACCTTTGTGATGCTTCCCTTTTTCCCACTCAGATAGGCAGTGCCACAGTGCTTCCCTGGTCCTGGACCACATTTTAGACTGTCTGTAATTTTTCTGATCACAGTGCAGGTAATAAAATGTCCCAAAGTTGCAAACATAGCCCAAATCTATATAAACTCAACTCTTAAAATATCCGATTCCATGTAATAACTCTGAAACTTGAACATGATTTAAAGCTAAAGCCCAGGATTGGACAGTGTTTCGTTCTGCTATGCATAAGGTCACTATGAGGTGGTACCAATTCAATGACACCTAACAACAACAACAACATGAGAGGCATTGGCCATTGTAACACATGTTTCCTCTATGTTCCCTCACCTAATGTCCCTCAGCTCCTCAAGCTTTTAAAGTAGTTTCTGATCCTCCTTGGGCCCAAACTGCAAAAAGGGCAGAAGACTTGTTCCATCGCTAGTACTGTCCATGATGTTGTCTCACCCTCTGGGCCAGGCAAGTGTTGAAGCAGGTGCTTTCCCTCGTTCTTTAGGGGTGTCCACTGGGAACATTCTATTCTACTGTCCATGACACAGCCAATGCTCTCTAATCCCTGGTGGCCTTCCTGAAATTCTAGGAGTCATGTGACTCATCTCTTGAATCAGTGTACCATTCTAGATGTCTAGGAGTTAGTGCAGGGAATTCAGTACTTCGAATCACTGGACTAGGATGGGATTCCTTCAGGATAAGTCCTCAGACAATCCCAAAGAGCTGTCACTGCCACTGTATCAGGAATTGGGGCACCACCAGCACAGTTGGCTGTAGAAACATGTTTGCTAGATTTACTGGCCCAACACAGATGCTCCTTGCCCTTTCTCTCAATGTCCATGAGACTGAGGAGCAAACCTGGTATCCTGGTATAGACGGACTCAACACCTCCAGGATTTTGCTTGCCAGCAGAAGCATGATTTGCACCCTATACCTGCTTTCCATGGCTCTTAAAGGTGCAACTGAATAGCCTGTGAAATGCAATGGTCTGATCCATTACCAATCATGAGTATGGAGAAGAACTGGGCGGTGCTTCATTCTGTTGGGATCTCCATGAGTTTGGACCATCTTGATGGCAGCTA